TAACTGATTTAAGAATATGGTTTTAACATATGGTTAAATTTAAAATACATTATCTAAATTAATTAAAGTTAATTTTTTATTCAAACATATAATTTTTATATGAAATTATAAAAAATAAATTCAATAACCTTGAAAGACTGATAGATTTCTTTGTATTTTAATTTTTAAATAAATTCTTAATATTATTTTTTATATTAAATAAATTATTATCATTTAATATAAAAAATAATAATGGTCAGTTTACAAAAATAGAAAATAAAAATTTCAAAGTTTAAACAATTTGTTGTATTTAGCATAATAACTATTCTAATTAGTATTTCTTTCATTTTTACTTTAATAGAGAATGAACACTTCAATGTTAGAATTTTAAATGATATAGTCAAGTAAAAATTATGTAAAAGTTTTTGAGTCTCTTTTCTTTTTTTCATTGGCATTAAATAGGTGAGATTCAATTAAAATTTATGAAGAGAGAAATAGACATAAAACACATGATTCAGTCATGTGAATTTTTTGTGTCTATCCCTCTTCACAAATTAAATCCCACCTATTTTTTCACCAAAAAAAAAAAATCCCACGTATTTAATTTTAAAAAAAAAGCTATGAGAGTTATATCACTTTGAAAAGAGAAGATTATGTATGTAATAGAATTGGTCTGATTAATAAGTTCGAATATGATGTTCAAACTTAATGGATTGCTTACTAATGAGTTTGGATATGATAGTATAAAATCTCATTTGACACCAATATTAAAAATTAAGAAATTTTAATAAATTAAAAAACAATAAATTGATAGGAAATAAACATAAATAAAGAATCTAAGCATTATATTTAAAATAACTAATTTAAGATTATTAAAAAATTAAAGAAAAAACAAAAAGAAATTATCTCACTTTCAACATTGATAATTCTATTTTTTTTATCAGACAGGATTATGTATGTAAAAAAGTTATATCTGTATATTGTCTTTATGTGCAACTTATTGAAGCACTCTGTTCATTAACAAATAAAACATACATTGGATGCATTATGATAACTATGATAAGGGATAAATTATGGTTTTAGTGTTTTTATGTTGAAGAAGAGAAGCTTCTTATATGTAGAGACAAAATATTAAATGGGCTCCACTACTTTTCAAAAAAGAAAAAAAAGATAATACAAACCCTCCTACAATGCAACTCACACAATTCATCAGCACTCATGCCCAACAAAGACACATAGTCGCGATCAAACAAAAGAAATGATGCGGAATCCGTGTTATCCACAACTCTTACCTAGACACTAAATCTATTGTTTTGCAAAATTGTATATCAGAAAAAAAATATTAAGCATACAGATTAAAGACAAATTAAAAATCAAGAACAATATATTACCTCAGATAATAATCTTCCCAATGTTTTTGGCAGTTCTTACAGTACCACTTCTCAAAATCCTCACAAACGAAAAATGGACATTTTTTCCAAGACTTGTACCACCAGTTGTATTTGCTCTCAATAGATTTTATAGTCCCATACGTGATGCAAGTCGTAACCTTAAATATAGCAATCGCAGGCAAACAGTTCACATCATTCACACAGACTTGATATAATTCAAGAAAAGTGAAAAAAAACAGAAATTCAATATTTACCTCACCACAAAGCTTCACATCGCTGATAGACTTCTTTTCAGTATCCTTCAGAAAATCATTTTCGTAAGAATAGGAGGACTGAGTAGACAACTAAGTCATCCTCAGACTACTTTCCACACTATCAGCTGAAAGACTATAAAGAAAAAATTCATAACACCATAAATGATTAACCAAATAAATTGTCAAATGAGTTCAAGGATAACAAACACACCATTTTTTGAACTCAACGATCTCTGGCATCTTCGAATCCATGACAATCCTTGTTGTATATTTTGTATTTGTTAACCCAACCTTACATATCGAGTTGAGTATATCAAATAAAAACCGAAAAGCCAAAAATAAAATAACGTGAATAAATCAGAATACAGAAGCATCATACTGATAACGTTTTGTTTGGAAAAATCATACCCCTAAAACATTTTATCCCCCCTAGTTGGACTATCATGACGTTATGAGGAGTGTCGCTGTTTGCCAAAAAAGATTGGACCTTATCCACATAATGCTCCCACAAAGTGCACTCCAGCTTGTGACCCCTTCATATGAGTTGCAGCAAGAACAACAGTAATACACGAAAAATATAAGCTAACAGAGCTTGACAAAATTTATTTTTTTAAATCTACAATTTTAAATACCTCAGGTTGTCAAGCTCCAACACAACCATTTTCGTCTTCCTACCAGACACCACACGTTCACAAACTTCCCCAATTCCTGAGATTAAACCAATGACGTCTACAAAAAAAAGAGGGCAACAAAGAGTTCGTAAAAAAATGCAAAAATTTAAAAATAAAAAACAGTCAGGAAAAATATATTACCCACTAAATAAGGAGAGTCAGATGTTTCTTTCTCAATGATGTCATAATCAACAAAATCAAATTCACTCACAGAAATATTAGAATCAACAATTGATTTAAGATCAATCCTCAAATTGAAAGACAAACGATACTGATGCTTGGTTGGCCTGAACACATCGCTATTGAATTCAACTCCAATTTTTTTTATAAAATAGCACTCTCCTTCATGGATTTTCTTCCGCACCGGCAAAGAATCTTTGACAATGGCGTGGATCCTACCACCCTACAAAAGAACGCAACCAACTCACATCAATAACGTTAATTAAAATGATCAGAACAAAGATGGAAGATTTAAAAAACGCAAAGATGGAAGATTTAAAAAATGCAAACATGGAAGATTTAAAAAACACAGACAACTACCTGTTCATCCAATAAAACCATTCCAACATTGTCGTCAAAATTTCTACGCTGAAAGTTAGGAACTTTCCACGAACCACCTTCACCTTAATCCTCCAATCCTCTTTGGCAAGATTGACATCCTTCAGAAAATCATATTTTGAAAACATATTTTTGGTAAGACGAAAAAAGAGAGAAGGAAGAAGCTATTTGGTTGAGGAAGCAACGCGCAAACAACTGATATTTGGCAGCAGCAAAAAAAGAAAAAAATTAGAAGCAACAATGTCATCCTGTACAGAGAAGTAGATGTATTTTTTAAATTTTTTAACCAATCCAATACAGAAAGTAGCTCAACATTAATTGTGTTGCATGCCACATTCAGAATTCAAAAATCAAATTTAAAATTTCAATTTAAAATTCAAACTCAAATTTTGAAATTCACATTAACAATAATTTGTAGAAAGTAGAGGTACATTAAATGTTCTGTCTGCCACCAACCATTTATAACAAATCTTGACCATTGATGTAAACGAAGAAATCTTGTCCATCGATTTGCTCTTGAAAAATTGATTTTGTTTTATGTTTATTTTATTCACTGATTTATCAAAGAAGGAAATGTTATTAAAATTTTGTAGTGTGAACACAAAGGTGAAAGTGAAGGAGGAAGCGACACGTCAGCGGACTTGCCAAAGAATGAGTTTGTCTTAGAATATAAGATCATGTGTTCAATTCTTACCACTATATCAAATAAAATAAATAAAACAAAAGTAGATCAAAACACATCTAGATCAAAAATTGTCAAATCATAAAGCTCAAACTCTGATTAATTAATGTCAAATATTTAATGGAAAAAGTGTTTATCCTTTTAAATGACATAACTTATATCCTTTCACTCTCACAAAGAAGTGGACCCATACCTTTATTTTTTTGTCAACTCTCTTTTCTCCTTTATCTATTTTTTTCTCTCTCATAAAATGACACAACTTTACATCCTTTAAAATGACACACATTTTTCCCATATTTAATACTCATTATCGTTTCTTTGATCCACAACTTCAGTTATTTAGAGGTTCTACTTATGAATTGCTTTCCGGTATTATTCAAAAATGCTATTACATTGTTTTTTTAAAGCGAAAAAGTTCTTCCTTTTAAAGAATACTTATTTTAGTTAAAATTAATTTTTTTCACTACAAAAAAATTGGTCATTCCTGGAGGTTATTTTGTGGAGGTTTATAAAAACCCCGGTAATTATATATATTGTGGCATTTTGGAGAACGCCACGTAGTATTTCCATTTTTTTTTGCTAGTTTTTATAATTTTATGGCAAGTTTTTCCCTCCACAATGTTTACTCTCAAATTTTTTGAACATTTTTTGAATGAGGTAGGATATTCATACTACCAAATTTTTCTACTACCATTTCACTACAACTCTAATCACCATTGGATTCAAAAGTTGATTTTCTTTTCTCTCTCTTCATTCAACTTTTCCTCTAATCCAATTGTGATTAAAGTGGTAGTGAAGTGGTAGTAGAAAAATTTGATAGTATGAATATCCTACCTCTTTTTGAATATGGCTGCTATAATTTTCTTTTTAACAATTAATAAAATTCCCAAGTTCTGAAGAATGGTTGCATCGTCTTCTTCCTATGTAGCACCGATACTGACACGGGACACGTGACACGATACGACACGACACTCTGACACGTTAATTCTAAAAAAATGATAGATTTCGACACGTTAGGACACGTTTTGATATTAAATAATATTTTTAATTTATATAGTATATATTATATTTAATATTCAATAATTTAACAAAAAATTTATCTAAACTTATAATATTCATAAATTTTACAAAGAAACATAAGATATTCCAAATATTTATATTAAACTCAATAAAATGGTAATCGTAATCCAACGAATCTAATAGTTGGAACTAAAAACTCAACACAACTTAACCTTTGAACCTTTTTTTGAATTTCTATAACGCGTGTTGGAGTGTCGGGGAGTGTCGGAGTGTCCGAGAGTGTCGGGAAGTATCGAACACGACACATCGTCAGGGTTTTTGAAGTGTCGGTGCTTGACAGGTTTCTTCTTCACACGATGCCTCCTCCTCCCCTCGTCTGAGATGAAATACGTATAAATTAAAAGCGATTGAGAGAGAGAACAAAAAAACAAAAACAAAAAGGAATCGTGTGAACCTATAGCTTCTTCCTGGTTTGCTTTCTTTTCTGTCTAAATTCTATTATCTTCTTAGGGTTTCCATTTCATCTATAATTGCGATCCAACTATGTTGATTTTTTCGATCAGTTGAGTGTTTTGCTATTTTTCTATTGTACTTCTTTTTCTGCTTCTCGCTCCTACATTTTGGAATTCGCTCTATGTTTTCTGATTAGGTCTGGTGGCATCTCCGCAATGAAATTTTAGGGATTTCCTTTGGGAATGGACGATGACGAGCTTGATTTCTCGAACCATGAAGTGTTCTCGAGTCCAAACACGGGGGAATTTCCTAGCAGTGGTTCCATGGATAGTTTCTTCAACGAGCTTCTGAAGGACACACATGCATGCACTCGCACCCACACTTGTAACCCTTTTGGCCCTGATTTTTCTCATACACACATGGTTTAACCAAGCTCACACACTCTCTTGTTGGTTCTTGGATCTGTTATGTTCGTTTTGATCTTCACTCTGTTTTTGCAAATATGTTACTTTGAAGGTTCAATTCTGATCCCAACAATATGATTCTAGAGAGAAGCAGTAGCTAGAGTTTCAGAGAGAGCTATATTTCCAGCGCTTCCAATAAGTGTTTTTCTTCCTCGCTCACCAACGAAGACCGTAAGAACCTGCACCGTTAATTAAGGAAGTTAATTAATTAATTATGTGAAATTAGGAAATAATTCCATAATTGACCCTAATAATTATTATGAGGCTGTAATAATTATAGTAAGTGATTAAGAATGCTGAAAGTCGCTTTTCGGAAGAAAAGTGCAGATACCGGTTCTGCTAGTCAGTATAAATGCGCACCAAAAAAGTATCCCGGAAAATTATAATAAGTGCATGATAATTACTAGAATAACATGTAGGACTTGTAAAACGAGTTTCAAGTCAAAATAATAAGAACTGGTGCCAGAAACTGGTACTGGCTATGAAAAACGCGTACCGGAAAGGTGCTCCAAAAATTATAAGAAAAATATGATAATTCTTGTAAAATTGAGTAGGTTAAGAATCCTGAGTTTGGGATTAAGATGCTAAGCATAGCAATTGAAATTAATACAATGTGTTTAAAGCTTAAGTGACTATATAAATGAAAGTTGCACCCAACCCTAGGAGGATTATGATGTTTTGTTCGTGAGTTGGTGGCTGGTCAGGGGTGTGTTCACTGCTCCATTGCATGTTCTTCATCTCTTGTGACCAAACCACCATTTTCTCTTGATTTTCCTTCTCTTTGACCTTGCAAACACTTGGGTGGGTGCATTGTGAGGTTGGGTTACAACTTTTGCTGAGAGGAGGGTGCTTCTAGAGTGTGTTTTGGTTCTGACTTTGGGTTGTTGAGAGGGTGTGGACCTTTGGCTTGGCATTGGTGGTGCCAATGAGCCATCTTTTGGTGCAAGAACCAACTTTTGTGAAGGCATTTTCGTATTTCCTTGGTGGTCTGAACCTTGGAGGTAGATTGGAGAGCTCCAAGAGCCTTTACTTCTCTGTTTTGATCCTTTGGTGAGTTGTACAACCTTGATCATGGATTTTTATGGGTTAAAGGTGATGTCTTTGCATGTTAATGGGTTAAGCAAGTAACCAGCTGGTATGTAAACCTATGAGGGTATAAAAATGCATGCTTTAACGTGTTTTAGTGTTAAAAATGGAACCTTGGAAGGATATCTTCGCGAAATGCAGAAACTGCATTCTGTCGTGAAATATCCGGATATCTGCTCGTGAAATATCCAGATATTGTATATCTGGATATGGGGATCTGGATATTCGGATATTGATATTCGTATATTGCCAGAGAGATATCCGAATATTGGATATCCAGATATGCCCCCGAGGAATATCCGGATATTCTGGGTTTGCGAGGAACAGTAGCGTACTGTTCATCTAGAACTGATGTTTGGGGGTTTGTGGACCCTAGATTGATGAAGTTGAACTTCTGTAAATACTTAACTAAGTCAGAATCAAGTGATTAAGGGCTTATGGCTTTGTGTGAAGCCTTAAGACGTAAAACGTAGAGGAAAAGCGTTATCTTATGTTGTATGCTTGTAGTGCATGTTTATTAATATACTATTGGTCCATAACAGATTGTGAATCTACTGTGTTTGGACTTTGAGCTATGGACTCTTGGCTTTGGGTGTTAGCTTGCAAGGTAAGCTTTCGTGTCCTCGGTTTAGCCATGTTGTGGTTCCACCATGTCCCATGGGGGTATGGTTATATGCATGTTGTGTTACATGCTTTGAATATTTGAAATGCTATTGAGCTTTATGTGTAATGGCTTTTAATATGCATGTGTTGTTCCATCTTGATGGTAAGCCTGAGTATGTGGCGTCATACAAGATGGTGATCCGGGGTGGATGCAAGTAGCGTCTTGCACTATTTGTGGGTATTAGACGTATATAAATCCTGCATTTCTCTGGCCAGTAGAATAGAATTGACACATATGACATGATTATCTGCTGCATTGCACTATTTTAGAACTGATGATGATAAACTGCTTTTGAACTTATATTGCACAAGTAAGTGAGCTTGGGGTGGAAGATCCTTGAGGACCCCTTGTCTTACTGAGATTTCTTGTTTAGAGATCTCACCCCACGTTTGGGGAATACTTATTTCAGGTTCAGGTAGTATGGAGACTGATGCCTCTGGCGGCAGGAGGTCAGAGCTTAGCTGATGATTATTGCTGTTATATGTTATATGCTGGCATGACTGGATTGGATACTGTTTATGTTTTCCGTCTTTATCTTTATGTTACTGTTGAGTTGAGACTTATGTGGGCTTTGTTGTCTTATTTGGGTGAGCATGAGAGTTGTCCATGCCACTATGTTGTTAGTACTTTTGAGTTGAGTTGTATAAACTGCTAGTTGGTCCGGTTTACGTGTTGTAGTTCCGTGACTAGAGACTCATACTTATGTTATTTAATTAATGAGGTATTTCAGTTAGATGTCTTTTGCAATTTACATACAGGCATGATTTTATTTAATTGATTAATTAAGCAAGTTGGTAATGATAATGACGTCATAATTGAAAAGGAAAAGATATTCCGTATTTTTAATTACTTAATACGATAGTATGATAACATTACCGGATATATACGGGGTGTTACAAAGACAGTGGCTCATTGGAGGATGATGAGATCAGATCGTGTAGCGCATCATTCTCTGTAGTAGCTCGTTACCATCAGATGAAGTTCAAGGTTCCTTCTATATATATTCTTATCGATTCTCTTTTAGAATTTATTCTTCTTCATCATCTGAAATAATTTTGGAAGGCTACGAGGGGGTGTTGAATCTCAGATGTATGAGATTGAATCAAGAATTGTTGTTTTTCCCCTATGTGTTGTTTTTCCCCTACGAGGGGGTGTTAATTTTAGTTGTGTCTTCCCCTATGTGTTGTTTTTGCTTGTGAATGTGACTTGATTTTGGGTATTTTCTTCAATTTTTATGAAACTTTAATCAATAATATGTTCTCTATTTTATTTGCATGATTTTCTTACTATTTAATTCCAAAGCTTTTACTTGATCCTTCAGGTTTAGAACTTGATCTTTAACAATGAAGCTTTGTTTTGCAAGCATAATTCCAAAAAAAATAGCCACCGAGTTCTAGCACTCACTGTCCTCACATGATTTCAACTCAACTAACTAGTAACCAGTAGTGTCTATCATAATGCTAACACAAAAACACCACTACCATATTAAATAAAATAATATGTTCTTTATTTTATTTTCTTACTATTTAATTCCAAATCTTCACTTAACCTTGAAGCTTTGTTTTGCAATGGTGGAAATGGAAAACTGATGAGGGAGGTAAATTTCTCGGTTTTGCTGGCTCTGGTTTATACGCCTACTATAAGCTCGTTGGTAAATAACTTTCTCAAGTCCTTTATATGAAGTTTTTTCCAATTAGGGAAAGCCATTTGCTTCAGTCAACTGGGCATCACTGCATCCCTTAAAAAGGGAGAAGAATCTGAATCAAACTCGGATCTATGGAACTTGTGACTGATCTATATATTTAGGAAGTTTTGCTGAGTAACAAGTTGACATACTAACATTTTCTGGAGAATCAGACTAGACCTGTTGTCATGGCTCTAGTGTATTCAAACCTTTGTTGATTTAGTAGTTTGTTCACCCATTGCATTTGATGAATCTTGTGCAGCCCTATCGTTGTAACTATTAAGAAGCACTGTAATTTTATAGCATATCCATAGTGGAGAGAGAAATTTTTGGAGATTAAATTTGCATATGGTTCTTTAATAACTTTTGTATCATATGGTTATTAGGGGGCGTTTGGTTGAGGAGAAATTTTTTGAATACTAGGAAAATGTAATTGATAGGAAAATGGTTGGAAAGTGAGTTTGGTAGAAAAATGTAAAAAAAGTTGTTTGGTTGGAAAAAATTTTACCGGAAAAATTTGGTAAATATTATAAAGTCTATGTTTGGTTTGAGTTAAAATATTGTTGGGAAAATGAGTTGCAATTACCAAAATATCCTTTATTTTTAAATATTTTGAATCTCATCCTGCGATGTCTATGTTTGATTGTGTGAAGAGTACTCTCATTCAGTGTCATAAATCTATCAGAAATTGCCACATTATTTTAGACTATTCAAATCTCTAGAAATTGCCTCTGTGTTCATCGTACTTTGCTTCCAGTTATGGTGAAGGATGAAGATAGCTTTATAAGAGGGTAATTTTGGTAGTTATTGTGCCAATTTTTTTTCATTTACCTAGCTTTTGTGAAATACCACCTTGGAAGTGGGATTTGAGTACCATGCATTATATCTGATTTTGCAAACAATTATCAATGGATAGGCAAATCACTTAGCTAGGAAAATTCTTTAATACCATGTACCAAACATGGACAATCCCAAATGCCAATCTCATATGCTTAGGTAAATTTCAAAAAAGCTGCTACCAAACACAACCTTAAAGAATACTGAAACGTAAGATACATATGGTTTTATCTTATGAAATTTTTAATATACAAATTTTTTAATCTTTAAATTTTGTATATTAAAATTTAATCTTTAAATTTTTAATAACCACATACAAAACTATAAGATAACAATACTGCATGAATAGTTATCAATTTTTAATAACTTTTAGTTTTTAATTTTATTTATATATCTCTATGATTTTTTTGTCTTTGAAAACCAAGTTTTATTTAGATATGTATTCAAATATTTGGAATGAATTTTTTTTATCCTTTTGAATCTACCTGGTTTGTTAAAAGAAATGTAAAATTTTAAATGAATTTTTTTAAAAAAATTTCAACAAATTTGTGAGGGTCTTAAACGTCCAGAAACTGAAACATTTGTGGGGGTCTAGAGCCTCCAAAAAATATTTTAACAAATTGTGGCGTTGCACACAAAACCTTCACAAAATATGTTGTGGCGTAGGTAAAACTAGGGGTTATTGAGGATGCCACAAATGTATTTTGTAGAGGTCAAAGACCCCCCCCCACAATATGAAAATATGACCCCCACAAAATGCCTGAATTTTTGTAGTGTTTATTTACAATTTAAATTAAAAAATTACTTAATTTCTCTCCCAATGATTTCTATTATGTATTTTTTTTTCACTTAAAAGAACACAACTATATGTCCTTTATAAGAACAAACACCAAACCCTTTTTTAAATTATAATTTTTTTTTGTCAAATGCTATTAAAAAAAGTAATAAAAACTCCAAATTAAATAATTAATATTATAAAGTTATATACTCATAAAATTTTAAATTTTATAATTTAATTTGTAATTTTTAAAAAGTAATAGAATACTTTTTAAAAAAATTAGTAAAATGAATCCCTCTCCTTAATTTTTCTTTATAAAAAGACAGAGATAACATAATAGAATTGAAAAATCTACTTGCATGTTTCTGTAATTAAGTACTAAAGACTTTACTAAAAAATTGCTTCCCAAACAAAAAAAGACTTTACTAAAAAATTGATACTTTATGATATGACATCTAGTTATATGAGATGAGGGTTTAATAAAATGTTACAAAATCATCTTATCACATATAGACGGAAAACAATAAAAACTGAGATTTAATATAAAAAGAATAGAAATTTGATATTTAACAGAAAGTGATTTTGAATTTGAATTTATATCTTTCTTTCTTTTCTGTTTTATTTCCAATGTACTTAAAAAATATATACATACCTTTCTTCCTTTTTCTGTTTTTTTCAATACAAAAAAAAAATGTATCCTCTTCATTGATATATGTAACGTCTAACTATAAAATGAAATAATTTAATTTAAATAGTGGATAAATAATACTCAGAATTTTAGGTACTTGAGTTATCATGCATGTAAATGGTATTATCTCCATCTTTTTTTTTTTTTTTATAACATTATCTCCATATCTTTGCATGCACAAACTTATGAACACATATCAATCTATTTATGAACCTCAATACACACATATATATATATATAAAGGAAGAAATTTTTTGACTCTGGTTAAGATTTGAAAATCTTACTCTCCATATCAGCTGATGATTTTTGTTCATCTAACAATTGTTATTTATTTAAAATTAATAATTAATTAATTACTATAACTCAATAAATTATAACTATCAGATAGACATAAATCAACAGTTAGAATGTAGAGTAAGACTTTATTGAGTTATAGTAATTAATTAATTATTAATTTTAAATAAATAATAACAGTTAGATGGACGAAAATTATCAGCTGAGAAGGGGAGTAAGACTTTCAAGTCTTAACCGGAGTCAAAAGATTTCTCCCTGTATATATATCATAACTATACAAAGATGGATCAATGGTGATAAAGAAAGAAAGAAAAGAAAAATCATGATCATTCAAAGGTAAATCAATAAATATAAGAAAATAAATAAATAAAACAACGTAACTTTGGGCTGGCCAGAGATAAATATATCTCAAATAATTTGACAAATATATATATATATATATATATATATATATATCCTGGGTATATAAGTAACAAAATACTTAGTTAACTTGTGTTACCATGGTTTCAATAGCTTTATTTCACATTTAACTAAATTATAATATTTCATTATATTATATAGTATTATTAATATTTGAATTATGAACTTTTGATCCTCACCTGTCACTATGTATTTTAAAGAAATTAAAACAAAAGAAGACTCGTTGTCCTATTTGCCAAAATCAAATCTATCCACACCAAGTAGTAGTCAAATCATACTGTCAAAAAACTAATTTATGTCAAATAGTTAATCCTCATTATCATTTATTTGACCCATAGCTTTAATGAAACAGAGGTTCTATTTCTGAGTTTTTTCGTTATTATTTTAAGATGATATTACATAATTTTTTAAATATTACATTTTATGTCAAATGTTATTGAAAAATTAATGAAGTTAGAAATTAAATAATTAAAATTGTAAAATTATATACCAAAAAATTATAAATGTTATCAATAAACTTATAATTTTAAAAAAATAATACAATACTTAAAAAAACTAAAAAGAATCCCTCTCCTAAATTTATTTTTAAAAACAAAAACAGAGATAATAGTGGATAAATAATACTAATAATTTTAGGTACTTGAGTTATCATATAAATGGTATTATCTCCGTATCTTTGCATGCACAACTTATGAACACATATCAATATGCTTATCAACCCCAATATATATATATATATATATATATATATATATATATATATATATATATATATATATATGGAGAGGTTATACTTACCATCGTTGATGGACGGAAATCATCGATTGGTATTTGTAGTGTAATTAATGATTATTTAATAGTAATTAATTTGTATAACTTTCTAAATTATAACCGTTGGATGTACAGAAATCAATGGTTGAGATGTGATGTAAGATTTATTAATTTTACACCAGTGTAAAATTATCCTGATTCATATATATAGGGAAAACATTTTCTCCTTTAAAAGGAGAAATTT